ACCCCTATGCGTATTTAGTAGAAATCCCGTGATAAAAAAGTTGTATTGGGATGAGATTTGAGATATATATGGTAGTTATAACCTAATATAATCCGATCTCGATTAAATTTGGCAGAGGTATTGTTGAGTTCCATAAGTTATCTGGTTCCAAACATAATTGTTGTGGAGTGCATATTACGAGTGTGAAGGACTTTAACAGCTAATCGGATGAATCATATATATGGGAGCTATAGCTATATCTGAACCGGTTTTCACCAAATTTGAAATACTTGTTTCTGGGCTGAATTCCGTCAGAATTGCCAAAATTCAAACCATATTGGCTGATATAAACTATTTGGCACACAATAAACCTGAAAGATATATATGAGAGCTATATCCAAATTTGAGGCGATATCGATAAAATTTGACAGAGATATTTTTGAGCTCCATAATTTTGCTGGTAAATATTATTCTTAGGAGTGTATATTACGCATGTATGGAACATAAAACCCCAAATCGGATGAAACATACATACAGGAGCTATGTACTTGCTTTTAGACTGAATTCGGTCGGATGTGCTAAAATTCAGGAAATTTGGACAGACATTGGCCAGTTGGTACACAATTAACCCGAAATGGGTTGAAGATATATATGGGAGCTGTATCTTAATTTGAACCGATTGTCAGTATTTTTCATAGGCTTCGTCCTTGAACTAAATCTCAATCGGATAATAAAAGCGACCTGTATTTTGTTCACAAAAATATATGGACGGACTGACATGCATAAATAGAAAGTGATTCTATGCTTCCTTTTCCATGTTATAAACAAATGCACAAAGACATAATACCCTTACCACTATTTAGTGTGGGGTATAAAAAACGCTTAGCCAGGCGTATCAACATTTTAAGATTTTTTTTTTTTTGTATTTTAAAAACTTTAAATGAAATCCACAACAACTTGCAGAGGAAATTTTGGGCTTTAGAACACTAAAGACAAAAAATAAGAAATTTATTAAATCTAAATTCTACTAATGTAAGAATTAAAATTAAACGATTATCTGCTACGAACGAAGTGATAATGAGTTGTACAATAAAGGGAAATATTAAAGAGATTTCATGAAATTAATATAGATATTTTTAATATAATATCATATTTTTAATTTTATATTTATATACAATAAATTATGTTACTAGAAGAGAATTCAAGTGTTGTAGAGTTTCTTTCTGAATTGGCTTAAAATTACAATTTTATTTTTTTATATATATTTTTTTAATAAATTGAAAATTTGTATTAAACAAAATATTTTACTTTAGTTCTATTTTTGTTAGTTGTAGTTATTTTTTGTTTTTTAATTTAATATATATTTTTTTATTATATATGACTATTATTAAATTATTAAAGCTGACACTTATCCAGTACACAATTGTTTGCTATATTTTGAGTTACGTTTATTTTAAGTTTTCTTTTTTAATTTATTTTTTACAAATTTGACATTTAACATAAGAACTGCTAAACTGTCATTGGTTGTTGTTGTTAAATTAAAAAAAGTTGTTGTTACTTCACATTATTTTATACAAAAAATTTAAAGTATAATTTCTGTTCATTAAGTTCATTTGTTCTTTGTTTTTTTATATATATATATATTTAGCTAAAATTTAAGACACATTAGGCTTCTTAGCGTTTTTTTTTTTAAATGTTTGTATTTCCTTTTTCAATTAACGTCGTTCAACGTTATTGGAAAAAAACCAAATATTTGCAGCATTCGTTAAAAACTTCTTTTTTTAAATATTTTATGTATTGTAATAAAATTTTACAAAAAAAAAATTTACCCAAAACAGAAACCGAAATATTTTTGTTGTTGTTGTATTTTTTGTTTAAATTTTATAGTGAGATATTTGTTTTCGGTTATAAGTTTTTATTTGAAAATTTTACTATTTCATATGTGATAGTTTCAAAATCTAGTAACGAAAATCAAAATTAGTAGAAGGCCTAAATAAAATTAAACTTTTTGGCACTTTACAAAAATGCGGTTTGATTTGAGATTGAAAACAAATATATTTTTAAGTATTTTTTTTCTCTCTATATATAGTAGAAACGTAACAAATGTTTATGATTTGTATTAATGATTGTTTTCACAAATTTTTTATGATATTGATGAGACCATTTTTCAAAGTAGCCTTTTTCAGTGTAGCATCGTGAGAGAAACATAGAGAGGCGCAAAGAATAATTGAGAGAAAAATTGGAAGCCAAAAAAATGATTTTGGCGATCTATCGTAAGTTCAATAATGGATTTTGGAACAAAAACTTGTGGTCTGAACAGTCATGACACCAGATTGAAACCAGTATGAAAAGGTCAAAAGTCGGACGGGCCTCTTATATGATACCCCACACTTCTATGCTTATTTAGCAGAGCTCTCGTAACAAATAAAGTTTATTTTGGGAAATTATGTGAAGTAGATCATACCTACTATAAACCTTATTCTAATGCGAATACTTTTTCAACAAATTTTACAAAGGCCTTTTGTACCTCTAATACCAAATAACTTTGACATATAACTTCGATAATGATTAATTTAAAACATTTGTTGCAGCAATAGATTTGATCGGTTGAATATGAAGAAATTCATCCAATTTGGACTGATATTACATAAAAATCGGATATATCGGATTTCGAAGCTATATGAAAATCTAAACCGATCTCTATAAAATTTGACAGAGGTATTTTCGAGATAGGGACATTAATACAAAATCGGGTGAGCATATATATTGGAGCTATAGCTATATCAGAACCGATTTTGGGCTGATATTAGCCATTTGGTGCACAATAAACCTGAAATCGCATAAAGGTATACATGTTTAGGACCTATATCCAAATCTGAATCAATCTTCATAAAATTCGGCAGAGGCATTTCTGGGCTTTATTTAATATCTGGTACCAAATATCATTCTTCTGGAGTGCATATTATACATGTGAGTGACTTTATCACCAAATCGGATGAAACATATATATGGGCGCTATAACTAGTGCCAAAATCTACTCAATGTGGGCTGATATTAACCATTTGGTGCACAATATCGGATAAAGTTTAATATGGGAGCTCTATCCAAATCTGAGCCGATCTTGATAAAAGAGGATATTCTAGGCTGTATCTGATATCTGTTACCAAATATCATTCTTGTGGAGCCCATATTACGATTGTGATGGACTTAAACACCAAATCGAATGAAACAAATATATGGGAGCTATAGTTATATCTGAACCGATTTTCACAAAATTTGATGTGCTTGCTTCTAGACTAAATTCGGTCGGATGTGCAAAAGTTCAGGTCAGTTGAACTGATATCATTTGGTCCACAATTAATTCGAAATCGGTTGAAGATATATATGGAAGCTATTTTAAATTTGAACCGATTCTCACCAATTTCAATGCGGTTCGTCCTTAGGCCAAACAAATGACTTGTGCAAAATGTTCTCTTGATCTGGAAATAAATGCGATCTGTACTTTGTTTTCAAAAATACATGGTCAGACGGGCGGGCTGACATGCATAAATCGACTCAGAATGTGATTCTATGCAGATCATCAAATAGAACTATGGGTCTAACTCGATTCCTTTTCTATGTTACAAAGAAATGCATAAAGACATAATATCCTGACCACAGTGTGGTGTAGGGTATAAAGAGCAAAATATCGAAATTTCGACCAATTCGAAATATTAATTTTTTAGAGTCTAGGATATGTCCGATTAAATAGCAATCATTGGTAACCCTATTCCATACCTATTGATAGTGCCATCGATTGCGTTGACGTTCTTGATTAAGGCTCATAATCAAAAATAATAATACTCATAAATTGAAGGTAATTTATCTACATCACATCTACATCTTCCGCATATGAAATACTCTAGAGAACTTTGTGATATTGTTTTTCAAATAGGAGTACTTTCGCGAGTACCACTTTCTCACACATGGAGAGAGTGAACTTCTTGTAAAACTCGTACTCTTTCAACATTCCCGCTCGCTAGTACTTTTCACGAGCAATTCTGAGCTCTGTAATTCTCGAATTACAAATGATTTAATTCGAATAACAAATGGACTGAATGGCCGGGTTAGTCTTAAGCAGTGACGGAATAGTGTCGCATTTTGTTGTGTTGTTACACTCTTCTTAAATTGTTGTTAATTTAAATGTGAGCGTGGAGAGAGTTACTCATTGAAGGCACAAGTGCATGCTTTTGGCTGGCTCTGGTCTGGAAAATAAGAAACTTCGTCTGGCATTAGCTCATAGCTATGTGGGGAAAAATTATTCATTCCGGAAATATATTTTATTTAAGGAAGAGAGCAAATTTACAGCAATCATAAGTGGAACTATACGAAGTGGCGCCCAACATGGTGGTGGGTATATAATGGTTTTGTGCGGCAACTAGCATTGATGAATTGAATTTTGACAATGCTACTTTCCTCTTGTATAGTTTGCAGCTGTCATTGAGAAAAAATCTCAGAAACAAGCAAAGCATACTCGCTCTCCTTCGAGTGGCATAGAAGTATTGAGAATATTTGATTTCTGTTTTTTACTTGCAGCTGTACACCCACTCTAATTTGAATAGACTACTTTCTTTTGTATCGTTTGCAGCTGTCATTGGGAAAAACTCACCCACTCAAATTCGAGTGGAGTGTGAAATTCTCGATTTCAAGCGAACTATACTCCAACTCTTCGAGCGGCATAGAAAAATAGAGAATGCTTAATTTTTTAAGTCTTACTTGCCGGAGTACTACTCTCGAGTTTCACTCTCTATTCGAATTTGAGCGAGAACTTCGGAGCTCCGAATTATTAACTTTCCCATCTGTTCGATTATTCTCTCTCTCAGTATCTCTCTCTCCCTCTCTCTGTATCTCTCTCACATTTTCCTTTCACAAGAAGTTTTATTTAATTTCTTTCTCTTTCACATTGAAAGCAATCGAAAAGTTCGACAAAAAACAATAAAATTAACTGTATTCTTCTTGTTTTAAAATCACATGAAATCTCTTTAATATAAATAGGTGTTATCACTGCTCAATATGTCCTCTTCGTCTTCTTCGACAATAACCTTGTTGCGTATGGCATTCGTCAGATCATCCATGTTGGTGAAGGAAGATGTGGCATAATCGGTCTTTGTATTCTGAGTATCTGAGTCTTTATGGCGACCTCTGAGCATTTGATAATGTTGTTGTGATGGCTGTTGTTGTTGTTGTTGCTGTGATTTCATATGATGTGCGGACGACGACATATTGGAATTGTGTGGGGCGGAGGAGGAGTTGGAGTTGGAGGAGGAATGTACTTGATCATTGTTGGATGATGAATGATGCAAATGGAATATATCCGTTTTGTCTTGCATAGGCAATAGCGTTACCACATCTGAGGATGCACTGGGTGGCAGGTGTGATTGTGTCGGGGACAATGATGACAGTGTGGCGGGTGGCAGTTGTTGTTGTTGTTGTTGCTGAGATGATGATCTCTGTGATGGCAGGGGTGATTGTGGTGAGGTCGGTGATAGAATGGGATCGATATGAGAGAAACGTGCATGACTTAATTTAATACGTCTACCACTACTCATTTTACCACTACTACTACTGGTACTGCCCTGGTCGCAGGTTGTGGAGGAGGTAGTTATTATTGAGGAGGACAATAATCGTGATTTCGAGGATTGTTGTGATTGTTTCTGTGTCATGTGATGGTGTTCGTGATGCTGCGGATGTTGTTGTTGTTGTTGTAGTTGGTTTTGCTGATATTGGCGATCGATATTACTAGTACTATTTGTAGTTTCCTTGTGCTCTCTAACCCTTGACGCTGCGGCCCCGCTGGCCAGCATCGTCGCGCCTTTACTATCGATCTGATCCCACCCCTATATCCACGATTCCTACATGGCATTCAGCATTCTCCTACTACTCCCACCGCCTCGGTGCGGACTGTATTCATCGCGATCAACAATGGGTGCACCGCGTCTGGCCGTTGGCGCCGACGGTGGCAAATCTCGTGGATCGATAACACGACCCGATGCACCGCTCGCATAGCGGCCACTGCGCAACTCGTCGCGTTCAATGTGCAACAAATCACTGTCATCCATTAGACGGCTGCCGCGCGACAAGTGCGCATGGACACTGCCGCCCACCGCACCCCGATGTGGTGGATAATCGGCTGCATAGCTGCGCTCATCCAACAGCTCCTCATTGTTCAAATCGTAGTGCATAAGATCACGTTCACGTGCATGCAAACGTTCTCGTTCGCGCTCACGTTCATAGCGATCTCGTTCACGTTCTCTTTCCATGCGATCTCGTTCATAGCCACGATCATGATGCCCACCAGAGGCCGGACGACGTGGATGTGGATAGGAAGTACCTCCTGTAAATTATACAACAAAATTCCGATTAATATTCTCGAGAGAAATAGGATATCTATTGCAGGGGATTTTCAATAAAAACGTAACAATAATTTTTGGGGGGTTAATTTCAACTTTTTTTGTTTGCTTTGTTCTCAGGGTTGGGAGGTTTTAATTTAATTTCAAAATAGTAAAACTCAAGCATTCATAAAATGCAGTAGTAGTAGTAGTTGTTGTATTTATTATTATTTTTACGTACGTATTATTATTGGTTTTTCTTTTGTTATTGGAAAAAGAACACAACTCTTGTATTTAAAGAAAAACAAACACTTGTAAGTAAAAACCATTAATTAAACAAACAATTAAATATATAATTAACAAAAACGCAAACTCTAACAAACAAAACTAGATATTAACGGGTATTATTTCAGGTATTTTTTGGGGCGGGGGTAAATCTAACAATGTTTTTGGGGGACAATAACTCTTGTTTTGTTGGAGTGTTTTACAAGTCTATAGCTATGCGGAAAAAATAGATGTAAATTTTCAGCCAGCGATGGAAAATCTAAGAATAGAAGTATTTTTCCATCTCTGATGCCAAGTAGTTATAGCAGATTTGAAAGAGAGATATGAAGGAGGTGGATGTGAAATAAGCATTTGATTTATTTTTGCTCTAATCTTTTTGGTCTTCACAAGCTCGTCTATGAGTACAAATAAAATAATGTTGAATGGGAGAGTCAAAACAAATGGAATTGAGGGATGAGGAAAGTAATGGAAAGGATGAAATGTTTGCATATATATGTTGAATATTTTGAAGATAAATGTTACATAAATGGATAGTGCGTGTTTCTTGAATGTATGAATACGGTAGAGAATTATTATAAATTAAGTATCTTATTACATATTCCTAGCCCCGTTTATATCACATTTTATCGTATGGCAACGGGAAAGTGAACTCGATAGAAAAACCAATCCTGTAATGGGATTCTCGAACTCATTTTTTAGGTTACCGACAAAAATCGGTAACTTTGAAATCCAAAATTTTGATATAAAATAAGGTTGACAACATTGGTATCTATCGGTAGGTCTTAGCGACTACTTTCATTTCGTCGCTGACTTAACTTTTCGTTAATTACCGAAATTATAAGCATTTCAATTTTACCGACTTCTGTCGGTAACTCTAAAAATGAGTTAGAGAATTCCACTGCTGGTTTTTTAAAATTTTGATTTTAATTTTATTTAAAAAAAATCTAAATTTTCTGTTCTTCTTTCGAGTTCACTATCGTATTATCATAAAGAAACAACCCCTACGTTTATAATACCCTCCACCATACATAGTATGGAAGGTATATTGAGTTCGTCGTTTGTAACTCATCGAAATATCCTGATCAGCCTAAAATTCTAAGACAATTTAGCCCTCAAAAAAAGAATTAAGATAGCAAGCTACAATTTTGCACAGATCAGTCTTCTGTCTGCAAGTCAAGTTCGAAGATGGGCTATATCGGTACTCGATATCATATAGCCCCCATACAATGGTACCCCGATATTCCTTATTTTGATGATTGTAGCCAAATTGTTCAATGGAATTGTAGGAAATGTATTGTGTAAATAGGTTCACGATATCGTATGTTCCCCATACCACGGTTCCCCCCGATATTCGGTATTTTAATGATTTTACGAATATTGCAATTGTTTCGTATTTAGAGTTCGTAATAGATACTACACCTCCCGATATTAGGTATTTTGATTATTTTAGCGACATTATTCACCGGAATTGTTTCAAATATGGTATTTGAACTTCGTAATGGATATTACGGCCTATAACAGAAAATTGTCTGTGCATGCCCACGTCTTCGTATAGCACAAATATAACGATACCTCCCGATATTTGGTATTTTGATGATTTTCTGGACATTATTCACCGTAATTATTTTAAATTTGGTATTTGAAGTTCGTAAGAGATACTACAGCCTACGAAAGAAAATGGTCTCTACAGTTTAACGTCTTCGTATAGGCCAAATATAACGACACTTCCCTATAATCGGTATTTTGATGATTTTATAGACAGATTTTATAGACTTCAAATACTTAAACAGAATGACAGAGAAGCTGTATATGAAGGTCCACGTCTTTGTATACCTCACCTATAACGGTACCTCCCTTTTATTTATATTTTGATGATTTTAGCCAGGGTTGTTTCAGGTTTGAAGAATTTAAAGCTCGGAATCGGTACTACAGCCAAAAAATACTTATGTCCGCATATAACGTTTAAATAATATATTTCGACGAGATTTTTTTAAAGTTTTACAAGTTCTTTCCAAATTGTGGAGGGTATTAAAGTTTCTCTTTTTTACATGTTCATACAAGTTTTGGCATTTGAGTTCTTAGTAAGAAGAAACCAATCTTGCAAAAATTCGGCTCGTGTTTTTGGTTAAACCCTCATATTAGGGTGTCCCTTGATTTCAGCTGTTTCCGGGCTCTTGGCCACACTTTTCTGTGCCAGTTTGGCATCTTGGTTTCTAAGGGGGTAGAAAACGTCGAAGTCGCCTATATAAAGGTACTTTCTGATTTTACCTATTTCGCGGGTTTTGACTACATTTTCCAATCGATTTGGCTAAAAATATGTATTCAGTCTACTTTGGGGGTAGAGAAAAATATAACGGTTCCCCCCGGGTCCAAATTTGCTGGGAGTTGGGTAATAATAGCAAATCACTTTAAGTGCTTCGGTTTATCCATGGTAAGGTTTCTAAAAATCATTTCTGAAACTCGTACTAAAATGGTATAAAGAGTGGTAAAAGTTACTAAATTTGTATTGGGCGAACCTATAGCGCTAGTGGTGGATTTGGAAATGCCTAGTATATAGTGTACGAAAAGTACTAAATGGTACTAAATTTTTTTATATAATGTAGGAAAAGAATTAAAATTCCAAATATTTGTGTAGGCATCCCTATGGTACCGTTTAGGTAAGAAGATGGATTTGAAAATTCGTACTTAATAAAATGAAAACAACAAATTGTGCTAAATGTAGTATTTTTGTTGGAAATACTTAATAAAATTTAATAATATAATATTTTTGGAAACACTTAAAATTGTACGAAGCGTACTAAAGAGTTGTGTGATTGATTCATTCACTGACTTATTTATCAACGCCCCGATTGTGAAGCTAATATCTTGAAATTTTGTGCGAGGGTCAGCCTTTGGGCGTATTTGAGAGATAAGTCTGAATTTTTCAAAGTTCGTCTTTAAAGGGTACGAAAAATACAAAAACACTAGTGCTCTGATTTTTTTCGTGGGCTTGTATGTGATAACAAATGGCGTGGAAAGAAATCTTAGAAACTCGTACTTAATGTGTACGAAAAGTGCCGAAAAGAAAAGAAAGAAAAGTGCTTATTCAATGTAGCACCATTTTTTACAGTATACCCCCCCTTGTAATGGTATCTTCGATTTTTGGGTATTTTGGAGATTTTGGCCACAATATCCAAACAAATCAGCTTTGATTTGACATCCTGGTAAGGCAACTTATATTTTGGGTATTTTGAAGATCCTAAATTTCCACCCAATTTAAAATTAATTTGACATTTCAGGTTCTTGGAGGATAGATAATCTTCTATCCAAAAATATGCAATATAGGCGGCATAGGCCCCATATACATTTTAGAGATTTTGTGGATAACCGATTTGAAAATTAAAAAAGTTTTCACATCTTGGGGAGTATCAAAGGTTGATCTATTTACCGACTGTGCCGCAAATTTAGTTTTCCAAATATTAAAATTCTACTTGACCATTGCCCGTATTTTTCGATCCCATCACTTTAGAATTCATTGTTTAGTACCTTCCAGCACCTATTTGATTTTAACCCCGCATCAACCTAAATGAACCTCTGCCAGGCTGTCAACTCCTAAAAAATACATATTTTGAATATTGTGATATTTTTAAATTTAATAAGGAATTTTTTTAAGGAACGTCAAAGTTTAATTGTGGAGTTTAAAAATATAATTTTAGACGACTATCCAAGTTACATTTGGGGGCTTTTAAAGAATACATTTTTAAAGACTTCTGCAATTTTATTAGTTAATTTTTGAGGAAATCAACGTTTTTGAAGGACTACCTAAGCTTTATTCGTTTTATTAAAGCCTTATTCGTAGATTAAAAATTCAAGTTTATTCAAGTTTTATTATTGGAAATAAAAAAAAAAACATATTTTTTAGAGACTGTCCGAACTTCATTCGTAGGTCATTGTATTGAAAAATAATTTTTGAAAGCATAAAAAAATTGTTTAAAAATTACCAAAACTTAATTTTCGTTTATTTTTATGATATGGTGCTGTTTAGTATCGGAGAAGAGGTATTTAGAAGCGGTCTCCGAAGCAAATTTCAAATTTCTTTTTACTTTATATTTTTACAATTAGTAGAAATATCATTTAATACCAGGTTTTAAGAGGAATGACTAAAAAAGTATTGGCCATGCCATTTCACGGCAGGTCTTAGAATAAGCCAAAAATTTGGTCCTACCTTAAGTTTAAAAAAAATTAATTTTTAAAATTATTCATATATAGCTTGTATTTTTATTATTTAACTTTTATGAGAAACACAACACAAAAATATATAATTTATCTTCATTAATATGCAAACATTTTCTACAGCGGATGTTAGGGAAATTCGTTAGGGGATCAGCAAAAATATAAAAAAGAAAAACAAAATATTAAACCAAAAACAATAGTTGTAATTAAAGCCATTAACAAAAAAAAAACAAAAATAAAATAAAAAATAATTAGCAATAGGGAAATATAAAACTTATAAAAAATAAAAAAAAATCAACATCATTTTACCACAATGATATTTTTTGTTGTACTCACTAAAAAACCCAATACGCATACACACACATACAGATATGCATTCACATACATACACATATACAAAAGAGCCATTTTCGTATGTATGTGGTCAGATGATCAGATTATATTTGGCATTGTTTTTGACAACGATTTAGTTCAATGACGGGCGCAACGCAAAACATTTAGGTACGAT